TCTCTCTCTCTCTCTCTCTCTCTCTCTCTCTCTCTCTCTCTCTCTCCAAAACAACAAGGAGTAGACCTATTATTCTCTCCACTGGGGACAAGCAGTCACTGATGACGATTTCCCCTCACGTATAGTATTGTACATTGTAGATAACTGGGAGTTCAAGACGAGGTCACAGCTCACTGAGCGACGGGTCAGGGTCCAGGGGTCAGGGTAGAATTATCCTGTCTAGCCTATTCATCATCGCACACTTACATGCACCATGAGTTTAAGAACAAAACCTTTTAATTTCAGTAAGTCATTTTACGACATTTGCAACACAATACGGTTATATAAGTGCAGAAGATTAGAGGTGATATAAGAGAGTAACAAACACAAAAAAGGAGGAGGAGAGAGAAGGACGGTAGTTTTCTATAGGAAAGAAGGAGCAAACCACACCTGAGTACCCGCCAATCACCCACGAACAAAACATTTGAGGGACCTTATTTCTTGTCGATCTGAGTTGAAACACACATCGACACGATAAAAGTCCTGTAGCGCAGAGAAAGAGTATGATAGACGGACAGAGATACTGATGAAATCAGACCAAACTGGGCTCAAACCCGCACAACTCAGATCTTGAGCCCAGCAGAATAACCACTCGGTCAACGGCGCAACACACCAAAGCTAAGCCAAACCCTACAGCAGTCTGTTTGTTTCGGGGTTTTTTAAAATAGCTTTAGTAGGTGTTTTACGGAATTTGCAACACAATAAGGTTATAAAAATACCGAAGATTAGAGGTGTTACAAGAAAGTATCAAACACAAGAAAAGAAGGAGGGGAGATAAGGACGATAGATGTTTGACAGGAAAAAAGAAGTAAACCACACCAGAGCACCCGCCAACCACCCACATCTGTTTGTTTGTTTGAATACAGAGAAGCTCATCGATCGACACGATAAAGGCAAGGTCATTTAGTACACGTGAAAGGCAAGACAGAAAGACAGAGGGAAAGAACAGAAGTAGTAGAAGAAGGGGCTACTTGTGGATCCTCCAACCGCCTTACACCTTAGCTCCCCAGTACTAGCTCAACTCGTCCAGAATAACATAAATCATAAAGGAGAAATCGCCCCTCCTTAAAAAACCCACTCTAAAAAAACAACCCAACCATCAAAGAAACAACAAGATAAAAGACAAAAAATATATATGAAGAAGGAACAAACAACAACAACAACAACAAAAACCAAGAAAAAATGAAAAAAAACCCAACATTGGGCAGTTGTTCATAAAGAACAATTAATTCGCCCATTTGGCTGATTACTTCAAATACGAGCGACAAAGACGAGAGAATAGGCTACTGCCTGCATACCACAGTCACCCCCAGCTTCATAAATTCTTCCGGCAAAACGACCAGGGGAGATAAATCCCACAGTCCGACAGTTGCTCGTCTCCCTTACCACCTCAGTAAATCCATCCCATAGACTTGAATTACAATAATTATATCCTAGACCGGGCACTGTCATGGCCGCCCATGGACTTGCGACATAATACCCTAGACCGGGCACTCTCATGGCCGCCCATAGACTTGCGACATAATACCCTAGATCGGGTACTGTCATGGCCGCCCATAGACTTCAATTATATTATCATAAATCGGGCACTGTCATGGCCGCCCGTAGACTTGAATAAGAATAGTATCCTAGACCGGGCACTGTTATGGCAGCCTCTTTGCTCTCTCTCTCTTAAAAAAAAAAAAAAAAAAAA